GTGCTTTCCGCGGCTGGCTCCCGCCCTTTGTGCTCCCCTTTCCTCTCCTCCCGCCGCCTGGGTCTCTGTCTCTGCATTTCTCCACCTCCCTAACAGTCTCCATCTTGGTTATCTCCGTCTTCCAACGCGTGCCTTTGTCTCCTGTTCCCAGCCTCACTCGTCAGCCTCTCCTGCTCCCTCTGCCTCTTTCTCGCTCTGTCTGTCACCCTTGGCAGACCTGCCTTGGCTCCATCTGTGGCACACTTTTCCCCCTGCTCTCCGGCCCGCGGTGGTGCCGGTGGGGGGTCGAGGGCCTGCTGAGCCGACAACCTCCGTGCTTGCTCTGTCATTGCCTGAGGAATGGTGAGAGATCAGAGACCCAGCAGCACTGGGAGGGGAGGAGCGAGATCCCCTCCCAGCTGTCGGGCCTCTCCACCTTCTGGCTCCTTCCTGCCTGTCACTGACAGCCCAGGGCAGTGGTGAGTTGGGTGACGAATACCAGGAGACCAAAACAGAGGCTGGCCCTGAGGCTGTGTGAAGAAGGGATGGGGTGGGGAGTGGGGACCGGGGCTTAGAGCCATTGGATTTCCCCTGCGCATACCCCCCCACACACATGCTAGACGCCGTCCCCAAACCGAAATTGGGAGGACAAACAGAGGAACCGGCGAGGTACAAGTCCTAGTCCCCACAGAGCACCCAAGCCTCCTCACAAGCAGGAGGGTCCTTTGAGCTCCCCCCACCCCGCTCCGGATTTCCTCCCCTCCCCCTCCTAAGACCAGTGCTCAGAGCTCCCAAGGCTGCTGTTTGATCGTCTGCGCTCTGATCGGAGTCTCCTACTGCTTCTACAGGCCTGGCTTTGTGGGGGGAGGCGGGGGTGGAGCAGGCCCACCATTGCTCCTCCCTTCAGGCCCCAGCCCAGCTCTTGCAGTTTGGGCATTGGCCATCCGTTCTCCACTTCCTACCCTCATGCATGCTGACCCTCTGCTGTTCGCCACCAGTCTCTAAGTTGGCCACTGCTCTCCTGACCCATTCCCCATGTGATCACTCCCTTGCACAAAATGGACCGAGCCCAGAGCCACAGCACAGTATGGCTGGTTTCTCCACTGTCCCTTGGTATTCTGGTGAGACATGGTCCCTCCTTTAGCAGGGTCCTGGCCGAGAGCAGGAAGGATGCCCGGTGTGGATTCAGTGAGGGCATCTGGTCCAGGGCTCCAGTCTCCAAGCTCTCAGTCACCTGGCAACACCTGGTCTTGTCTTTGCTGTGCTTTGACCGTCTGCCTCTTACTCATGCTCCTTCCTGTTTGGAATTGAAGGGGTCTGTCTACTTGGGAGGTTGTCCTCTTACCATTGTCAGAAGAGCCCCCCCAGACCCCTAGTCTTTAGGTGCCCTTGCATGCAGGTGGTATGTGGGTGTGGCTGACACCATGTGGGCTTGGGGTGGACACAGACAGCACTTGAGCTCTGAAGACTTAGAAAAAGACCTAGACACTGGGACTATGAGACACTCAAGAGGGAATGTCCTGGGGCATATGGAAGGGAAGATTGCTCCCTTCCCATATGGAAGGGAAGGGCAGCAGGGAGGTGTTTTCCTCCTTTCCTCCCCCATTCTTTCTTCCATTTCCTGAAGCCATTCTGTGACATGCGGCCATCTTGGACCCACTTCCTCCGTTCTCCGGCTCACTTCCCAAGCCCTCCCGTGGGCCTGAACAGCACCCAGGGGTCCGTTGGCTCAGAAAACCACAGCAGTGAGCCCGCAGGCTTTCTCTACATATGTGTGCACACAGGCTAGTGTACACACAGAGAGGATGGACACAGGGATCACCCCCAGATACATACAAGCACACACACTCACCAGTGAGTGCACCCGTCCCAAGGAAGACGCGGACAAGGGTGTGCACACACAAGCACATCAGTGCCAGTGTGCCCACTTGGCTCGCTCCCCACGTGCAAGTCCACATCCACACACATGCCCTCGGACACCTGCACACAGGCACATGGAGACACGCAGGGGATGACAGAGCGGCCTGCGGGCAACAAGTTGGTGCTGGGGAGGCCACTGGCGGGGATGGCGCAGACGAGCGGGACGGGATGAAGGAAACCTGGGGACCCAGCCAGGGCTGTCTTCCAGGTTTCTCCCTCCAAGGTGGGGAGGGGCGCGAGGGGGGGTGGAAAG